TTCCTTATTTCTTCTTCGACTATAATATGGTTAATAAAATATAAGAAAAAAGTAATCTCATACTTAGAGGAAAAATCCTCTTCTAATATCCTCTTAATGTTTTCCTCTCAAAACAAAACTATTCGACTTGAATGTATATTAAATAATATATTAATATTAATATATTAAATAATGTAAGTAATTAACTTTTAGTTATTAAATATAATTATTTAATTAAAAACATTAAATTTAGTGCATAAAATTAACTTTTCTTCATCAGTTCATAACCACAATTTGCAAATAATATCGGAGAGAAAAATCCTCTAAAGTGAAGAGTATTAATTTTGATACCATATATAAGAGGAAAATATGCATTCAGTTTAAAGGATTCCGCATTAAATCAAGATTACCTCTTTTAGGGTGAGCGATAAATTAATATCGAATTAGAGTAACAAATAGTAATAAAAACCAATTTAGTCTTGTTAGATTACAAAATTTTTAAATCCGCAAAAAATTTTAACTTTCTTATTAAATTTATCAAAATGTTCCTTACTTTCCTGAACGCTGAACACCCTGTAAAATCTTTTTTAAAAAAATTATTAAATCATAATTTTTACTTTTCAAAAAAAAATTTACTGAAAAAGGGGAATAGGGGAGAAAATATTTGAATTAAGGGGATTTAGGGGATTTATTTTTTTTAAGGGGAAAAGGGGGAAAAAAGGGGAATAGGGGAAAAAGGGGACGAACTGTGATCCCTGATATAGAATAAAAAATATTTTCTCGCTCTTAGCGCTGCCCAGAACCAACGACGTGGACGTGGCGAGATTTTGGTTCCTTTTTTAATTTTTTTTTGTATTTTTATTATTTTTTGTGTTTTTTTTGTATTTGGTTTTGTTTTGTTTTTTTATTTTTAATGTATTTTTTTGTTTTTTTTTATTTTTTTAATTTACTTTTTTTTGTTCTTCTTATGTTTTGTATTTATGCGATTCCTTATTCTGTTTCTAAACATTTGAGCTACTAGAATGTTCTTTTATTAAGATCTTCTTTTCGTTTAAGAATGATAATCCTGAAAACAGTTTTTTTCGACGTTAAGCAAAGTGCTACTTGACATTGCGAACAAATCCAAACAGATTTTTGTTCATTTTCATTAGTGCTGCATGAGGCACATCGTCTTCGCTTTCCATCCTGATTATAAATAGGTAGATGTGCAGAATCAGAGCGCCTTTTTTCTATAGATATTTGAGGTTTATATGGACCTAACAGTTTCGGCAAACTTTTTCTACCTTTTTTCAGCGGCATAATATTCCACCAACTAAACCATCTACTATGGCTAATCTGAAAGCCTTTAATTTAATCGGTTTTTTCCAAATTCGACATAAATAACATAAGCGTTTGTTATTGATACATCAAGTAGATGCCAAAAAAGGCGAGGCCACCACTTTTTCGATTTTCTATTGATTTGGTAAGTAGATTTCAGCTGATCAGCTTTATCTACATACCCCATGTGCTGATTGTAATCTGACACCATGACAGAGCAAGGTACCGGAATTCTTGAACCATCCTTTAATTTTCGATTTACTGTCTGTGTCTCAGATGGGTCATGGAAGTTAGATAAAAATGAAACCGCCCTATTGTCCTTCCATTTTAGCCATCGAAGGCCTGTGTAGGAAGTACGATATTCCATCTCTCCGCGGACCATTTTCTTATCGAGTAATTGTTTTTTTGGTAAGCCAATTCGGTTTGGTCTAACAGTTCCACAAGCTAAGATTCCATCTGCTTTTAAGGAAATCATCAAATCGATGCTCGTGAAAAAGTTATCGAAGTAAACTTTATGGAACTTGCCAACAATTACTCGAGTAAGATCTTCTACAACCCTACCACCAAGAGATTTCTCTTTGGTATTTGTTAACTTACCTGTGTAAATTTGGAATTCACAAACGTAACCTGAACTATCAGCACGAACCCAAATTTTGTAACCTCTTTTAATTGTCTTAGCGGCATTGTATTGTTTCATGGTGTTCCTTCCTTTATATTTTACCATCGACTCATCTACTGACTGGTGTTGATTTGGCTTGAAACATTTGGGCAAATCCACGGAACCGTGTGATTTCATGTTACTCCTCATTTAAACAATTTTTTTTAACATTATATAATTTTTTTTAATGTCAATGTCTCTTAGATAACATATAAAACAAAATAGTCAAATAAAACCATAATTTGTATAATCTTCATGTAAAATAAATAGTCATCTGTGTACTTAAAAAATTAAATTTGATTTGTTACTTTGGGCTTCTCTTCGACTTAAACGTGTATAACTTTTTCAGCGTAAATTAAAATCGTCCAAGAAAAGTTGTAAATAATTCTTCTAATATTTTAAAATCTATTCCATATCAAAAGAAATATGTGCTCCTTTATTAAAACTAAATGGCAGCAATTCAAGCAATGTTACTCCCATTTTTCAGTAACAGGAAGTCCAAGGTTTTCTTCATTTTGTGCTTTCAGCGGTAATGCATTTCTAATTTTTTTGAAAGAGCTTATTCCTTATGAAAAAATTAATAAATTTAGACCTTACTTAACCGTGTGCCTTTAAAAATAAAGATAATAAAACAATAATTATGTCTACACCTTCAAACGTGAATGATTATAAATTTATCCTTTTTTTAATGGCACACTTATAGCTTAAAAAATAATCAGTTGAAACTTTGTGTGAACGGTAGATATTATTATAAATATTCATGATTCTAAATGCTAAATATGTATTCCAATTAAAACATTTTAAAAATATTAAATATAAAAATGTTGTGGAATTTTCATCTTTAAAAGACTCGATCTCATAAGTGTGAATATATCAGTTTTCAATTATTGGAAGGTCAATATGTTTGTTTATATTCAGAAATGTCAATTTCTAGAAATACGGGTTAGAAAATATTTTTCACAATGGTAAGCAAATAATCTTTTGATTTTCAATTTAAAAAAGTTTTAAAAAGTAAAATGTTAAGAATATTTTATGAAAATAAAGATTTTGAATGGTTAAATAAGTTATAATTTTATTGTTTGCACTTTAAAACTTGTAAAAGAAATATAAAATAAATATACAAATAAACAATCATTCCTATTGAAGTAAATTATAAGAAATAAATAAAAATAGGTAAAAACATTTGTAGTAAAAACTTTCTACTTAGAAAAATCGACTAGAATATAATTGATTATTAAACATATTTCAGTTGTCTTCATTTGTTTTTTCAGTTCAAAAATGACATCTTGCCAATCAAAATTTCAATAAACTTTTTTAATTACAATGCTTTCAGCAGTAAATAAAAATGATTCACGCACAGAAAATTTTGTTCTTGAATAAATTTCGAACATATATATCTAAAAATAAAAAGTGTGCTTGTAATTTAAAAATATTTATATTTTTATGTTTAAATCGCACGGTTCCGTGGATTCGCCCATTTCTTAAAATTTTCATTTAGTTTTTCTATTATTGGCCTTATTTTGTACAGTTTATCGTAACCTGCTTCACCTTTTTTTGGTTCTTTGGTATTATCGTTTGCATGCAAGTGACTTAGAAAAAAACTAAATCTGTTTATGGTCATGATATTACTGATGTATGCGTCGTTTAGTTGGGAATTCATAGACCAATAATCCTTATAAGACGGGAGTCTCTTTACGCCCATTAGTATATTAATACCAATAAACGTAAGCATTTCAGCTTTGAATACTAGATCTAAAGTACTCTGTTTCTGCTCTTGATAAAGCTTAGTTTGATTTACTAAAATGTCAATTATCTCTGTTGAAAACAAGCAATGAAAAATGTCTAGTGGAGAAGTAACTGACTTAGGTACATTAGGTCCTGAATTCGCTGTAAAAGGTACATCTTCGCTTGGTCTGTTTTTACTTTCCCATATGCCATCTAATTTCTTCAAACGATCCTTCAAAGGTTCATCACCTTCACTATCAGTTTTCGGTTGAAATTTGTTCATTATCTATTGTAACATTTTCTTTTCCTGTACAAAAATTTCCAGAAGTTTCAAGTAATTCACTATTTTCATCGTCTGAAATTGCTTCACCGTCAGAATCACATAAGCCATCAACTGACTCACAATCACTAGGAATATCTATAATCTCTTCGTCCTCCATTGTTTATACGTAAACAGTAATTACTCAAAAAGGCAATAAAATAATATTGATACAATTACATGCAATATATTAAAAAGTCGAAACAAATTTAAAAAATTGAAAAACGATTACGGATTAAAAATTTTCTTAGTTGACAAATATACGTACAGATGCAAGGAACAATTTCTAAAAGATTATACGAAAATATTAACTGTACATTAGCTAATATTTGAAAATGATGCAAAAGTTTGTATCTTAAATAAAAACAATTGAAAATCGCTGTTCCAATAGTCAATTTAGTTTTTGATTGACAAGTGTCGTATTCGAAAAATTCATAAAACATATGACGGGTTCCACGTCAAGTGACCCAGGTCCAAATTTGAAATGTTTGGGATCAGGTAAAAAGTTTGCACAAACAGTAGTCCTATTAGATACAATAAAAAATATCAAATATTATTAATTTATTTAAACAAATATAAAAACTGGAGGGGGTCAAAGTTTAAATTTTTGGTCTTACATGGAATATTTGAAAAATTTGTAGTTTCTTTAAAACAAAACGAAAATACGTTTTCTATTTTGGATTTTTCTGCTGTTTTTCAACACTTTCTAATGGTGAAATCAAATGTAGAGAAAAAATTTTTTTTGACCTTGAAAAGTTAAATTAAAAAATAAAATTTCATTTTTTTATCAAATGGACAGTTTTTATTTTAAAAAAAAAAATTTATCACAAAGGTGAGGTTATTTCCTAAAAATCGGGCAAGTGTGAGTTGCACTCGCATTAAGATCGAGGGATCCGTACACCAAAATAAAACTCTTTTTTTATAAAAAAAAATATATATAAGAAATATAATTGATTAATATTAACATATATAATCCTATTGAGCTGAAATTCGGTACACATATGTATTTTTATTACATATAGATTAAAAAAACTATAACTATAATCCACATTAATATTAACTTATATAAACATATTAAGCTGAAATTCGGTATACATATGTATTTTTATTACATATAGATTAAAAAAAACTATAACTTGTGACGATGTAAATAGTCACTCTCAATTTAAAACCCCAATATCGAAATCGTGGTGCCACCTGTCAGAAGCCATTGAACAGTGAGTTCGAAAATTATGGTAATGAGGGAAATCCAATGCCGCCGGCTGACCCAATGAAAGTCGTGAAAGTGGGTCGCGCGGCTAGTTAGTAGGAAGAGAAAGTGACAGGTGGCAGGGCCAGTACTGAAATTCGAGAACGAGAAGAAGAAGACGGGCCATGTGGAGAGAAATTTGGACGCTACAGGTGTCCTATACTTTCGCCGCCATAATGGATTTTTACATGAGCCGCGCCGGTACGCCAGTACTCTCGCTGTTGTGAATTTTCAATTATATTTGAGTTATTAGTGTATTTTCTTTGAGTTGAGTGTTTGAGAAAGTGGAGCGTGAAGCTCAGGATTTGTGAAATAAATACAATTATTTGCATTGAGCCGGAGTGTTGTTTTATTCTTATTGTTTTCTTCTTGAATTTTCCCTGTGTGCCGATACCTGGAGACCACTGCCAGTAGAGAGCCGAGATAGAGAGAATAAAAAGGGGAAAGGAACCTGAAGAACAAGAGCCGTGGGTAAGTCGTTTGCCAGTTTGTGCCAGTCGTGTCTCGCCGTTGGCATTTCTGCTTGCCAATCGTTCGAGCAGAATTCCCTCTGAGTGAAAGAGAAACTCAGAGGTTTGAAATTGTTGTTGAGAGTTGAGCCGAGCCAGGGAGTAGTTTATTAATTAACTTTAAAATTAATTGGCGCCTGACGGCGAAATTTATTTGTTTAAATTTCTAAAATATTGATATTGTTGATAGCGTCAGATTTTGCCTGACGTAAGCAGAACTTTGAACTAAAATTAAAAGTAGTTTGAAAAATACGTCACAAAATTTGGCGCCCAACGTGGGGCCAGGCTCGAACCGAGACTCGACTGAAAATTAATTGTGAGCCATATTTTAGTGCAAGTGTGCCAGAAATTTGAATCTTTAATTTAGCCAGAGACAAATTTTATTTTGTGAATAGCCAGAAGATTCAAATTTTATTGCTTGCCATTGCCAGAAAGTTGTATTGTTTGCCAGAATTTTGAATTTTTCATATTTTCCATTGCCAGATTGCCAGAAAATTCAAAATTTAAATTGTATTTGCCAGATTGTTTGTTGTTTATCTTGCCAATGCCAAAAATCTATTTATTCATAAATTATGAGTAAATTACGGCCAGAATTTGCGTAAAATAAAAGTGTAGAGTGCCTTTGCCATTTAAAATTGTAAAATTGAAATTTTCTTTTTTTTTGAGACTGTAAAAATTTCCTGTCGTGATAAAATTTAAAAAAAGTCAACAATTAAAAATTTTTTTTTTGTCGAAAGCCAGTTTGTGAGAAAAATCCGAGAAAAATTCCCCACAACTTGTGCAAAAATCAAAAATTTTCCCAAAAATTTATGCCGAGCACATGTTAGACCGGAAATAAAATTCGAATTAATCACGTGACTGTAAATAGTGCGCCGGACGGTCGAGAGAAACGACGCGCCGGGATATTTAACTTTTCGACAGCCGAGAGAAAGTTGAACGCGCCAGGAAAGAGTGGCCTAGTAGTAGTAGTAATAGCGGCTACACACAGAGAGAGAGAACGAGAAGAAGAGACAGAAGGAAAGTCGAATCACCAGTCCGCCAGAAATTTAAAATTTTTAGAAGGGGGCCCTCCTTGAGTAGTCACGTCCTTGCTTCAAGACAGCACAGTGCCGTATATACAAATTGCGCACCCCCCTAGAAATTAAAAATTTTTCAGACTTAGAAAATTTTTTTTTAAATAAATTTTTTTGAAATGGCAAAGGCAATTGATGAGATGCAGGATTATAAGAGACGCATGAGCGAATTAATTGGAGTACCATGTGTAAGCCGAGCATGGGAAAAAATTAAAATCATGCAAGTTGGCCAGGTAGTGACGAATTTATTGAGACACCAATTGTGTATCAGTGGTTCGTCACAAGTGTTAAAGGAGAGATTATTGCGAGCGGAATTGAGATTAGCTCAAATCGATGATTTAGATGTACCATTTAGCGACATTTATGATTTGGGAAGTTCTGACCAAATTTTTTTAATGGAAGCTTTCCCAGAGCCAGAATTCGACAAATTCCCATTTGTAAATTATCGTCGAGGTGGCCAGATGTCATCGGCAGATGACGAAGAATCAGATAGTGGGGCAAGTCAGGTTATCGAACGTATTAGGACCAGGAAAACTCCAGGGAGTGGGGGAAACAAAACTAAAGTTGAAACAACGTACAGTAGACACAGTCCGACCAGCGTTGTATCCACCCCAAATTTTACACCCCCAACCCCAGTCATGACAACCGCCAGCATGACGACGTTTTCCCCCACCACATCGAATGCTCAGTTGAGTATGACAACGAGCACGGTCATGACAGCACCCCATACTATTCAGTCGGCCACGATGGCCCCAGTGGTCCAAAGCCTCCGTGATTCAGTCGCGCGTTTAGGTTTGTCACCCGAAATAAAGAAGATTATGGAGTACGCCGAGAAGATGGACCGCCAGTATTCGGGAGGGGGGTGGGAGCTACGACAAAGCCAATGTAGGGCCGAGGTTGCCGAAGGGCACCACTTGATTCACCACCAGCAATCGAGACTAGTGTCCCCTCAAAGAAATTCCCTGTTAGCCGAGACCTCACACAATCACCAAACTGAGGATAGAGTGAGGCCCACGCCCGCCCCGAGAAGTCAATCAAGCCGAAATAGCATGAGTGACTCTAGCATAAATCATCGTAGAGTGCCAGAAAATGGAGAGCCAGTCTTGAATCCCGAAAACAATAAGAGCCGAAGTAGGGAAAAAAGAGACAAGTTAGAGAGACAGATTGAATATAGTGGTAGTGAGGAGGGCCGTGTAAATAGTAGATGTAGTTGTAGTGGTAAGGACAATAACCAACCGGACAGGAAAAATCGAAGAAAGGCGAATAAAGAACGTATAGTAGGAAGAAGAGTGGGGGAGAGCCAGAGGTCGTTCTTAGATGACTCTTCGAGTGAGTCCGAAATCGAGAGCGACCTAAGTCAGAGGTTGAGCAGTAGTGGGGAGAACCGAGAATGTAGGCCAGGCCGTAGATCCAAAGTAATAAAAACACTGAAAGACTGGGACCTAAAATTCTTTGGAGATGAGGACAATGCCGAAGAATTTCTGGAACGATTGGAGGACTGTAAGGACAACTCAGATTTCTCAGACCGAGAAATCTTACAAGCACTGCCAATCATCCTCCAGAAAACCGCCAGTAGTTGGTTTAGGTCGTTACGCCGCGAATTAAATTCTTGGAGGTCATTTAAGAGGGTATTCAAAAATGAGTATTTAGTGACAGTGGACGACGATGACGTTATAGACGAACTTCGGGCCAGAACACAAGGAAAAGGGGAGAAAATTTCTCCATATTTAACCAGCTTCCGGTTGATCTTGGGTCACATGAGACGACCATTGAGCCAGAAACAACAGGTCAGGTTGGCCTATAAAGGCCTGACACCAGCCTACCGTCGTCAACTAGAACGACTCCATTTTGAATCGTTGAGCCAGATGGAGAAAATTCTGAGAAATTTTGAGAAAGCAAAGGACTTGGATGAAAGATACGCCCCACCACTACCCAAAGAGAAGATGCGTTTCCCCGCAGCAGCCATGAAAGAGAAGAAGAGTGGCCAGAAGAACAACAAGAGTGAAAAAGTAGCAGCACTTAAGAAGGAGTCGGAGTCGAGTGAGAGCGATCACTCTACAAAGACCGAAAAGCCGAAGAAAAAGAAGAAGAAAAATAAGAAGGTCAAGAAAGAAACGAATAAGCCAGAAGAGAAGAACGTCGAGGCCATGAGTCAAGCGACACCAAGCCAGAAGCCAGCAATGGCCCAGGGCCAAGTGGCCAATACTGCGCCACCACAAACAGTGCAAATGCCAATGCAGTTTGCCTATCCAATGGTTTACCCAGGGATGTTTCCGCCTGGAATGAAACCAAATTACCCCAGGCCAAATGGTCCGAAAGGACCCAAACCGGGGCAAAATGGTACACAAACCCAAAATACCCCGAAAGAATTCGTTGGGGCATGTTTTTACTGCCAGACTACAGGACATCGAGCCAGAGATTGTCCTCAGAGAACCTGTTTTTCTTGCCAGCAACAGGGGCATTATGCAAATCAATGCCCTCTAAAGCCAGCCCAAACAGAAGCGTGTTTGGTATGCAAGAGGCCAGGAAGCAATTTTCTAAATTGCCCAAATTGTGTGTCAGTCAGAGCCGCCTTGGGAAACGGTGTGTGGGGGGCACAGAGCAGCCCTGTACCCCCCTCAAACCCAACAGGCCAGTAAATCATACTGTTGAGGGGTGTAGAGTCGAAAATGATGAGCCAAGTATAGTAGAGACGAGAACCAAGATTTTTGAGCCATGTAGAGTAGAGAGAAATAGTGAGTGTAGAGACCAATTTACGCCTAGTTGTAGTTGGGTAAAAACTGAGCGAGAATTGGAACTAGAGAGAAGAGAAGAAACGAAGGAAAGTTTAGACCCAGTCATAGGTAGGGACGACTTGACAGAGGACAACGCGTTCAAATTCGTGCCAGAATGTAATCAAGAGCGGTCGAGTGAGGAGAGCTCACTCTACCGATGCGAAGTGGAGAAAAGGGCCGAAGAGTGTGGGACAAAAGGTACGGATGTGATCCCGGTACCTATAGTCCAGGGGAGGGGAGAGGCTGTGAGAGTCACAGCTGACCCAAACCTAAGTGATGGAGAGGACATCGATGGATCTAGGACGGAGAACAGGTACTTCTTCGACATGACAATCGGCGACCGCCATTTCGAAGCACTGTTTGACCCTGGTGCGATGATTTCAGTAATCACCACCAGTGTGGCAGCACCTTATAAGAGCCGTATCCAGCCTTGTGGAACAGTGGTAAGGAGCGCGACAGGAGGTATTACTGAAACAGCCGGAATTCTGGACCTTAACATTGTGGTCGATGGATTTGCTCAGAAATTCGCAGTAAAAGTCATGAAGACTTTGACACAGGACATCATCTTGGGCATCGACTTCTGTAAGGCCTGGGACATGGAAGTGAAGCTGAAAGAAGGATTATGGAGAGTTTTCCAAGGAGAATGGCATGAGTTTGGGCCAAGAGAAAGAGAGAAGGACGAACAACTAATATTCGCCGAATGTGCCGGTATTTCTGCGCTCGACGATGAGCAAAAGAGCATCATTCAGGCCATTGTAGACAAGTGGGTGTTGCCAGAATCGGAAGAACACGGAATGACAGACCTGACGGAACATCATATACGTGTTACGGACGAAACGCCAGTACAACATGGAATAAGACGGATGTCGCCAGCCATGCTGACTTGGGCCCAAGGTAATGCCGCAAAACTGTACAAGCTTGGGATCATTGAGCCATCAGCCAGCCGTTGGAGAAGTGCGCCAGTAATAACGAGGAGAGGAGAGAACGATTTTCGACAGTGTAACGACTACAGAGATGTCAACAAAGTCACAATCAAGGATGGATATCCACTGCCATCCATTGATTATATTTTGGATAAGCTCCGAAAAGCCAGATATTTGTCAAAGGTAGATCTCAAACTGGCATATCACCAAATACCAATGGCCGAAGAGAGTAAGAAATATACCGCTTTTGCCATACCTGGGTCAGGACTGTGGCAGTTTCGCCGGATGCCCTTTGGACTTATGAACGCGCCAATGACGTTTCAACGTCTAATCGACGCATTACTGGGGCCGAAAGTAGAGCCGCATGTCTTCGGATATCTGGACGACATAATAGTAGTCACAGACACTTTCGAAGAACATGCTAAGTGGTTGGAGTTCGTCCTCAAAAAATTGAATAAGGCGAAATTGATAGTGAATCCAGATAAGTGTGAGTTCGGGTGTTCCGAAGTGACTTATCTGGGTTACTTATTGGACAGAGAAGGTTTGAGGCCAGACCCGAATAAGACAGAGCCGGTGAGAAACTATCCAGAGCCGAAGAACGTGAGACAACTTAGACGTTTCTTGGGCATGGTCGGGTGGTATTCCCGTTTTATTCCAAACGACAGTGAAATCAAAATACCATTGTTGAAGTTGCTACATAAAGGCCGGACGTGGGAGTGGGAAGACGAGCAACAAGAAGCGTTTGAACAGCTTAAACAGAAGCTGACATCTGCGCCAGTCTTAGCCCGACCTGACTTCACGAAGAAGTTTACCATTCAATGTGACGCCAGCAACTATGCCATTGGAGCCGTATTAACACAAGAGTTTGAAGACGGAGAACATCCGATAGTCTACATTAGCCGAGTCCTAACGGAGCCAGAGAGAAACTACAGTGTGACAGAAAAGGAGTGTCTGTCATTACTGTGGTCGATCAAAAAGTTCAGGCCGTACATAGAGGGGTACAAATTCCATGTGATCACGGATCACAGTGCCCTAAAATGGCTCAGGAACTTAAAAGATCCGACAGGCCGATTAGCCAGGTGGGCCCTGGAAATGCAGCAGTGGGACTTCGACATTGTTCACAGACGAGGTGCACAACATCATGTCCCTGATGCATTGTCCAGACTGCAAGAAGATGAGGAAGAATCAGTAGCCGCGTTTGAATCCATTGAGGACCAGTGGTACCTCAAACGCCGAGAGTTGGTGAGCCAGCATCCTCAGAGGTTTCCAGGGTGGATCGTTGAGAACGAAAACCTATATCGCTATCGGAGTGACCCACTTTTACTGCCGATAAACGGAAATGAGGACGGTTGGAAGTTAGTTGTGCCAGAAGAGTACCGAGAGAGGGTTATGGAAGATGGACATGCCCAAGCATCAGCCGGACACTTGGGGATTGAGAAATCTTACGATCGGATAGCACGAGAGTACTATTGGCCAGGCATATGGAACGATGTACACCACTATGTGACACATTGTCTCCAGTGCCAACTGCATAAGGTGTCCCAAACCGGACCAGTCGGACTGATGGGCCAGAGGATCGTCGAGAGACCGTGGGCCGTAGTAGCTGCCGATACGATGGAGTTTCCACCGAGTAAGAGCCAGTGCAAGTACCTGGTGGTGTTCCAGGACTTGTTCTCGAGGTGGATTGAGGTGAAGCCACTGAGGTCAGCTGATGGGAAGTCGGTAGCCAGAGCATTCGAGGAGTTGGTCCTATTCAGATGGGAAACGCCAGAGTACTTATTGACTGACAACGGTAAGGAGTTTGACAACAAATTTCTCAAGTCCACACTCGAGGAATATGGAGTCAAGCACATTACGACCCCTCCTTACCATCCACAAGCCAACCCAGTCGAACGAAGCAACAGGACTCTTAAAACGATGATCTCCACCTTCATTGGTGCTGATCATAGGAACTGGGATCTTCATGTGCATGAGTTCCGTCATGCGGTGAACACAGCGACACAGGCGGCGACCAAAACGTCTCCTGCGTTCCTGAATTACGGAAGACACCCCAAGCCAGTGAAGAGCCTACGAAGAGAAGTCGAGGGAACGAGAAAAATAATTAGAATAGGGCCAGAAGAGTGGGTAGATAGGATAAAAAGGTTAGACGCGTTAAGAGATATGGTGGCCAGACACATTGACAAAGAGCGAGCGAGACAAACAAAATATTATGACAAAGGTAGGAAAGAAGTGACTTTTAAAGTAGGCGACTTAGTACTACGGAAAAGCCATAAGTTGTCCAGTGGGGCACAAAAGTTCGCGACGAAGCTGGCACCGAAATACGAGGGTCCCTTTGAGATCGTTGAAGTTCGGTCGCCAACTGTGTTCATTCTGCGAGATGAACAAAGCCGAAGAGTCCCCAAAGTCCATATTACCGACCTGAAACCATACTTAGCTGTCCTAAATTCATAAAATGTCAATTTCTGGTTGAAATTAAAGAAATTTTGTTTTAGAGCGAACGAGGAGTTACGGCCAGAGAAAGGAGTCGAGGAAGAGAAAGAGAGAAGCCATGCCCAGGCAACAGAACACCCGAAGCCAGAGGTCACCGAGCCGCCACCGAGTGTCGTCCGATTTCGTGGGACTCGAATGGGAAACATCCCCATCCCCACCACGAATCACTCGACAGGGAAGACGTCGAAGTGGTCACCGCCCCGAATCGGAGTTTCACGATGGAGACGTCCAAAGGAGTAGACCGTCGCTATTATCCTTCCCGATCATGGAAACGACAGCAGAGGAGCCGTTGGTGAGTAGGAAGGGTACCGAAAGAAGAAGAGATGACGATCGTCCAACAACGGAGAGAGGACAGAGGCCAGAAGAAGAGGAGGGGGCAGCTGGAGGGCAGGTCACGTTCGTGACACGGCCAGAGGACTGGGCAGAGTTGAGTGTGTTGGAGGAGAGGGGAGAGAAGGAGAAGAAGAGGACGATTCGGCCAGACGGAGCAGAGGTGGTTGTACCTTACCGTTGGCCGGCAAACCAGGGCCCCAAAGAGAGTCTCGAGGCATACGAAAGCAGATTAGCCGAATACGAGCTAGAAATGTTTTTAAAGTCGAGAGAGCCAATGACGACGGTAGCGCTGGAAAAAGCCAGGGCCGGACAAAGGAAGGCGCTTCGAGAGAGGAGCGAAAGGCAGTGGATCGTAGATGACCTCGAAAGTCAAGAGCCCATGCCACGGATGAAGAGGTCAAATAGCCCCCATCCAGGACCCCCGACTACATCAAGCCAGAAGCTAGGAGCCAGACCGGAGGAGTCAGTTCTGAAACCGAAGACTAGGGGAATAGTCTTTGGTGTCTTAAAGTTGATTCCGACAGATAGGTCGATAGATCCCCCGCCCTACAGTTGTTTTAACTGCTGGCGAGGGGGACACAACGCCGAAAACTGTCGTCAATCAAAAAGGTATGACTATTGTTGGAACTGCGGCCGACGTTACACCACAGTAGAAATTTGTCCCAGGTGTGCCAAGGCGTATGCACGCTACATGGGAAGGCCAGAGAAAAAGGAGAAGAGGGAGGAGGAAAGGCCAGAGAGAGAGGAGAAGAGGGAGGAGGAAAGGCCAGAGAGAGAGGAGAGGAGGGAGGAAGAAAGACCAGAGAAAGAGGAAAAAGGGGAGGAGGAAAGGTCAGTGATAGAAAGAAGTAGCGAGGAAATTGTCGTGAATGTGAAACCACCACAGCAGGAAGCAGACCCAATAGAGGGGCAGGAAGTCAAGGAACAGAAAACCGCCGAGGGGAAAGGAATAGAAGAAGAAATCCCAGACGACTTGACCCAAAGGATTATAACAATCACAAAGGCACTTGAGGGTTTGCCAGCGGAAACCCTAGACCTAGCCATAAGACAACTCTTGAGGGAAAGAGAAAGTAGGCTAGAAAGGGGAGCCCGAAATTAAACGACGGTCAGAGAGAGGAGAAAGAGAAGGGCCAGATAAAAAGGTGGAATGGCCAGGATAGAAACAACGGTCAGAGAAAGGGGAGAGAGAAGGGCCAGAAAAAAAAAAAAAGTAGGAGAGCCAGAGAGAGTAGGAGAGCCGGAGAGAAGGGGATGACCAGGAGCAGCAGTCAGGATCGTTATGATGATGACGGTCCTATGTAAAATAGTACCGGTCATGGGGAGGAGATTGTGACGATGTAAATAGTCACTCTCAATTTAAAACCCCAATATCGAAATCGTGGTGCCACCTGTCAGAAGCCATTGAACAGTGAGTTCGAAAATTATGGTAATGAGGGAAATCCAATGCCGCCGGCTGACCCAATGAAAGTCGTGAAAGTGGGTCGCGCGGCTAGTTAGTAGGAAGAGAAAGTGACAGGTGGCAGGGCCAGTACTGAAATTCGAGAACGAGAAGAAGAAGACGGGCCATGTGGAGAGAAATTTGGACGCTACAGGTGTCCTATACTTTCGCCGCCATAATGGATTTTTACATGAGCCGCGCCGGTACGCCAGTACTCTCGCTGTTGTGAATTTTCAATTATATTTGAGTTATTAGTGTATTTTCTTTGAGTTGAGTGTTTGAGAAAGTGGAGCGTGAAGCTCAGGATTTGTGAAATAAATACAATTATTTGCATTGAGCCGGAGTGTTGTTTTATTCTTATTGTTTTCTTCTTGAATTTTCCCTGTGTGCCGATACCTGGAGACCACTGCCAGTAGAGAGCCGAGATAGAGAGAATAAAAAGGGGAAAGGAACCTGAAGAACAAGAGCCGTGGGTAAGTCGTTTGCCAGTTTGTGCCAGTCGTGTCTCGCCGTTGGCATTTCTGCTTGCCAATCGTTCGAGCAGAATTCCCTCTGAGTGAAAGAGAAACTCAGAGGTTTGAAATTGTTGTTGAGAGTTGAGCCGAGCCAGGGAGTAGTTTATTAATTATCTTTAAAATTAATTGGCGCCTGACGGCGAAATTTATTTGTTTAAATTTCTAAAATATTGATATTGTTGATAGCGTCAGATTTTGCCTGACGTAAGCAGAACTTTGAACTAAAATTAAAAGTAGTTTGAAAAATACGTCACAAACTATAATCCACATTGAATTCTTATGTTTTATTTACAAATAACAAAAAATATATATTTTACCTGATTAGAGATAATATTTAAAATAATATATTGGATATAAACTAACAAAAGATACTTATATTATTAATCTGATCTGACAATCTGATCTTGATTGTCTTTACAAATGGTCTGTAAAAAATAAATTGTTGTTTAATATTAATAAATGTTACGTCATGTCCTATTCTAGATCCAGAAATGATCCTGACTGCCTTTATCTAATTGGCAATGAAATTATTTCTAGAGTAACAGTTATACGTGACCTTGGGATAATGCTCAATAGATTTTTTAATTATGATGATCATATTAATTACACCATCAGTAAGGCCAACAGGGTCTTGGGCTTTGTCATGAGAACAGCCTCAAATTTTAGAAACGAGTTAGCAATAAAAATATTGTTCTTTACGTTAGTCAGACCTGTCATCGAGTTTGCGTCTACTTTGTGGAGGCCTTATCAGGACTATTGGGTGGATGATATTGAGAGAATTCAGAACAAATTTATTCGTTTCCTCGCCAAACAAACTGGAGTGCCTTACAACTTCTATGATCATGACTATACTGACCTTAGAAAAAGATTTAATATTCCAACTATATCTCAGAGATTTCTTTTTGCAGATCTCCTGTTTTTATTTAAAGTCATTAATGGTTTACTTAATTGTTCAGATCTCTTAAGTTTGTTTTGTTTTTTTGCAGCTAAGCATTCTCCCAGAACTGAAGTTCCATTATTTAATGAACAACTTATTAGAACTAATTACTTAGAAAATTCAGTGGTCAATAGGTTGAGTCGTGAGGCAAATCAGTTTTATGACAGAGTAAATTTTTATGGCGTTTCGCTTAATGCGTTTGTTAGAGAACTACGCAAGCAGATTTTCGACAATAATAATAACAATGCGGTCAACTAGTAACGTAAGATTTTCATTGTTCAGTACATTGTACGAAAGGGCAATATAAGCCCGTTTATATACTAAATAAATAAATAAATAAATTATAATAAATTTTTTATTTATTGGTATTTTGCCAATTTCATTGATATTTATTTTAATTTAAAATTTTTTTAATATTTTATTTTTAAAAATCATTACTTTTTTCAATGATATTGTTTTCAAGATGCACCACGTGGAGGTAACCAATTCCCTCCTAGTTCGCAAATATGTCCGTCAATCGAGTTCGTTATATTTTTCCTGTAATCTGCAATTGAAACTGAAGATCCCTACCGAATTTCAGCTAATCAAGTTAAGATTTGTAAAAGTTAAAGGTGGAGGACAGGGTAATTTTTTCAATTTTTTCAAAAAAATTCAATTTCTTTCCTTCCTAGTTCGCAAATATGTCCGTCAATCGAGTTCGCTATATTTTTACCTCAATCTTCACTTAAAAATGAAGATCTCTACCGAATTTCAGCTCACTAGGTTGAGATTTGTAAAAGTTAACCGCAGGAACAGGGTCATTTTTTGTAATTTTTTCAAAAAAATTCAATTTCTTTCCTTCCTAGTTCGCAAATATGTCCGTCAATCGAGTTCGCTATATTTTTCCTGTAATCTACACTTAAAACTGAAGATCCCTACCGAATTTTAGCTCATAAGGTTGAGATTTGTAAAAGTTAAGGGGGGGAACAGGGTCATTTTTTGCAATTTTTTCAAAAAAATTCAATTTCTTTCCCTCCTAGTTCCCAAATATCTCCACCAATCAGGTTCGCTATATTTTTCCTGTAATCTACACTTAAAACTGAAGATCCCTACCGAATTTCAGCTCACTAGGTTGAGATTTGTAAAAGTTAAGGAGGGGGACAGCCCATTTTGCGTAGCTGGGACGGACACACGAGTGATTTCATAAGGGTTCCGTCAGTACACCTATGGTGTACGGAACCCTAAAAAATTATAAATAATTAAAATCCACAAAATTCTCCTCGACAAAGAACACTCAAATCGGTTAAAAATTGTAAGGTGTAGACATTTTTTAATAGTAAATTGTAAAAAAAATTCCACTGCGGGTCGGTGCACTGCAGAAGTAAATGTTTATTTTGACCATTTAAAAGTTCTTGTCCCACGTTTTGACCTATACATTTTTTTTAGGAAAAAACCTCACCTTTATGATAAAATTTTTTTTAAAAAAATAAAAACTGCCGATTTGATAAAAAAATGAAATTTTATTTTTTAATTTAATTTTTCAAGGTCAAAAAATTTTTTTTCTCTACATTTGTTTACACCATTAGAAAGTGTTGAAAAACAGCAGAAAAACCCAAAATAGAAAACGTATTTTCGTTTTGTTTTAAAGAAACTACAAATTTTTCAAATATTCCATGTAAATTATTGACCTGGGGCACTTGACGTGGAACCCGTCATATATGAAATCTAATACTAAAACATTTATTTTAAATAAGCTGTAGAATAAAAGAATATCAAAAAAGTTATAAAAAATCGTATCAAGAATTAAAACAATTGAAAATCGGTAATCTCTTCGTCTATTTGATTTGTGATTAAAAAACCAAAAACTATCTCAAGAACACATCTAGTGAATAATCTATAAATTGAGGGATGGATTCTATAAAAAGACAAATATAATAATTTTTTCAAAACTTGTCCACCATATTGGATCCGCCATTTTGAATTTTTAAAATGGTATACTTCATATTCGTAATCAGCGACCTCGACAAATCCTAGGTAACGAATTTTAAAAGAATCTGATTATTTTCTTAACCTCGTCCGTCATATTGGATCTGCCATTTTGAATTTTTAAAAACAGACTTCGGATTCGTAATCAGCGACCCCGAAAACCCCTTGATACGAATTTATAACGAAATCCGTTGATTTTTTATTTTTTTTTGTCCGCCATATTGGATACGCCATTTTGAATTTTTAAAAACGGACTTCAGATTCGTAATCAGCGACCCCGAAAACCCCTTGATACGAATTTATAACGAAATCCGTTGATTTTTTATTTTTTTTGTCCGCCATATTGGATCCGCCATTTTGAATTTTAAGAATTTTAGTTAGTATTTCAGTTCAGTTATTAAAATAGAAATAAATTTATTGTTTTTGAATATTATTCCATATTTTTATTAAATTTTGCAAAAAAAATTTCTTTTTTACGTTTTGTAAAAAGAAAATATAATTTTCTGTATCCCTTTGCCGAAAGTACTGTCTTCCCGGTCTGATTTGGCTCCGGGAATAGCGACTTTTGTGGCCGGCTCGACAGACCCAACGAGCGCTCTGATTGGATGTAGAAAAATTGTATACGACACACGGCCAGAAATTTGGATAACCTAGCGAGCGTGATATATAAAGTGATATATATATATCACGCCGGCCAGGAAATTTAACTTTCTGGCCTAGTATCGTAATATACTATTATTTAAAAATAAATATGTCGGAAAATTCTTAAATTAATGTTTTTAAGTGGTATTACATGTTCTGAATATACAAAAAAATTTGCACCTTGAATTTCTTAGGCCATAAGTAAAAAATGAATTTTTTTTAAATTAGTACGTATTTTAACTAATTTTTATTTAACAATAGTTTTGTTATTAACATTCAACAACTGTTCAACTATTTTTGAAATTGTTTATGTCTATATAATGCTCTAAATAAAAAGAAAATCCATCATATATTGATAAAAAAGCAATTTAAATATTTAAAAAATAGTAAAATGTAAGTGGGTCACTGAGAGACCCATCATGACACAAAGGGTTAAATTTTTTTCAAAACTCGTCCACCATATTGGATCCGCCATTTTGAATTTTGAAAATTTAACTTCAGATTCGTAATGAGCGACCTAAAAAACCCCCAGATTCCAAGTTTGAAGTAAATCCATTAACATAAAAAAATCGCGTTCCTCTCAAAATCTGACATGTTTTTTGA